ACTCGGCCCATCACCACCACCAGGCACCGTGACCAACATATTCGCACCATTATCAACCTGTTCCGACCACTTCCTAGACACATGGTTAAGCCCTAAATCAAGTTCATAGAATGTCAAATGCTTTTGTGCCTCACCAGCAGCCACTCCCGTAGAATCCTGATCTGCCTCCGAGTAATCCAATTCAATTGCAGCAAAAATAGTGTTATCAAATCCACATCAACGCAACAGATGGAGTAAACTATCGTACGTGACTTATGAGCTTCTAAAGGCGAAGAAATGGTTAATCTAGCAGCAGTATCTCTGTTCAAAACATAAACTAATTTCTGTTTCTCACAGGCACCAATCATTACAGCTCTACCTTTAGGGCCAATAGCTAAGTACTGACCCGGGAGAATCCGCCGACACCCAGATTTCCCAAAAGTTTCTTGGTGAACTTTATCAAAGACATTCTTCTCTTTATTGTATTCAAGGATAACAATCCGAACCGAATCTGATCCTACTACAATATAGTCCTTTTGAGCTCCGGTTAGCCGGAACTGAGCTAGGGAACGTATGCAACCGAAAATTTCGACGGAGTGAAGCGTGTGGAGCTTACCGAGCTCGTCGGGTCGGAGAAGGGAAAGGATCTTACCACGGGCGACGACAATTTCTTGGATTTTTCCGCCGGAGAAGTTGCCATTTATGGCGGAAACGATGCCGGTGGCTTGCTGGAGGGTTAAATTGTATAGATACATGGGTAGTTAGGGTTTTTGAGATTTAGAAGGGGATTTATGGTTATTCTCTTAAAAGGGGATCACCGTTCACCCAAAGTTTGTGGGAATGACTGAAAGTGAACTGAGACATGAAAATAGTGGGAATTTTCTTGCGGTAAATTTCAAAACAGAAATGAAATAGAAACCCTAAAAGCAAAATTGAGCCCAAATCGATTTGAAATTTAGGTTTTTGGGCTCAATTTAGGCCTTGTACCCTCCTAACTCTTTATCATACAACCTAAACGGTCTAATTTTGATTTTAGCCCATATACTATAAAAATATTAAGATTTAATCATGTACTTTAATTTTTAATTTTTTAAATATAGAAATAAAATATATAAATTTATTTAAGCACAGGGAATAATAATATATCTTAACCTTGTTTGATTTATATATCCTTTGTGTGATATTAGAGACGCTCAAAATACGACAATCTTATAGGTTTTGATTCGATTTTACGAGGTGATTTTTTTAAAAAAGAATTTAGGTTCAGTATGGATTAATACAATTTTTCTGAATAAAAAATCTTCGACCCGATCTAATCTAAGATAATTTTTATAATGTTAGTCACTCTATAGAGAGATGATTATCATAATATACTTCTATATATTTTATTAATTATATTCTTAATTTACTAAATAAAAATAGAAAATATTAATAAATGCTAAGGTGAGATAAGATCAGATAAAAAAATTTAATTGTCGGATTAAAATCGAAACAAGTGAAAGATGACTCGTCCCAGATCACATTTATGAACCGTACAAAACTAAAAGAAAATCCAACCTCTCGTAGTTTTATAAATGAAACAAACGATTCGGGTCACTTAGAGGGTTTTCAAATAAACCAAAACACATCTAAAAATTGGGTTTTCAACTGCTTCATATCATCAAATCCACTGTCTCGTATGTATGTATGTATGTATGTATGTATGTATGTATGTATGTATGTATGTATGTATGTATGTATGTATGTATGTATGCATGCATGCATGTATGTATGTATGTATGTATGCATGTATGCATGTATGTATGTATGCATGTATGTATGTATGTATATATGTATGCATGTATGTATGTATGCATGTATGTATGTATGCATGTATGTATGTATGTATGTATGTATGCATGCATGCATTCATGTATGTGCCCTTCCTAACAACCTTAACAGCCTTATTAACCCCAACAATGTGCCTTTCCTAACAGGCCTAACCGATGCACAAACCAACACTGTCCTACAAAACACGGGCAACATCCTCAATTTCGGCAGCCAACCTTTCATCACCACCGGACAACTCCCACCCTGAGCTCTTCAAAGGCTCATGTTCGGGACCATTAGCTCCCATCCGGAACTCTCCAAAGGCTCATGTTCGAGACCATAATTGTCGTAGACGATGAACTAATCGAAGCACATGAGTTAGGGTCAGTTGTGCTAGGTAGGGTACAAGGGTTCTATTTGGCTAGCTCATTGGACGGTAACAGCCAAACCATTGCCTTGACAGTCGTGTTGCATGGAGGCGAACACGAAATTGAGGACACCATAAGTTTCTTCGGTGTTTATCGGACCGTGTCACCTGAATCGCAGATCGCGGTGGTCAGTGGAACCGAGAAGTACTAGAATTCAAAGGGAAGGTCGAAACCCTTCTTCACCAGGAGGATCAGCACATAACCGATGGTGTGGATACGATGTTGCATTTCAATGTTTATCTCACCGAGTGATGATTGAAGCATTTGATACTGAAATTATAATCAGAATTTTCAATATTTTATATTTGGCTGTTGCAGTGAAATTGTGATGGTTCAATCTGACGTTTATCTTTTCTTTAATGGTAAATTATTATTTTTGTCGACTAAATAAAACGTACCACATAAAACTAACATATTTTATAGTAGGTCTTAATAGGCTATTCGACGATGTCACGTAACCCTAAGAACATCAAATATGTGAAGAGATTCCTTTCCTCTTCAATAAAATCCAATAGAAAATAAATTCTCTTTTTTTAAAATTTTCTGTTAAATTCAAATTATTAAGTCTGAGTCTTTATTTTAAACGATCATATATCGCGACTCCCTATTTAAATTTCAAGAGATGAATTGTTGGATAAATCCTCCTCCTTCAATGTAGTTTATCAACCCTTATTTTTATTTTTTTTTATTTTGAAAGTTTTATAATTTTATTAGTTCGTTAATAGATCAGAGATAAGTACATAAATCGTACTAAATTGTATTAAAATAAATTTTTATCATTAAAATTTTAAGAGTGATAAAATCGTCATTAAATTTATCAAATTGTTATAAAATGGTCATTGCACGCCATTAAATAGTGATAAATTGTTATAAGCCTATTGTCCACTTTTTTAATAATTTGATAAATTTAATGATTATTTTATAACTGTTTTAAAAGTATAACTTCCAAAATTCCATTGATCGAATCAGTGTTCTGTTTTCTTAAGAATAAGAAGAAATGAGTTCATTCCAAGTTTTTTTTCCCTCTGAATTTTCTTGATATAAGACAAACAAATTGTAGATTTCTCATTGTTTTTCAGATTCACGATAGTACAAGTTTCCAAATATTTAAATCACACCAAATTATAGGCATCTTCATCTAATATGTAACGTAAACAGTGAACTCTAGCACGGTCTCAAAGCCATCGGTCTCCTGCTGCTGATTACTCGCCGGTAAAGTCTTCACAATGGAGAAACCTCTAGCATTGACATATTTTCCGGTACCGCCCATGATAGACAAATGCGACTCTGATACACCGGTCCGATGAACCCCGAAGAAGCTAAGTGTGTCGGCATAGTGTCCGCTCTGGAACATGGCTGTAAACGCCATTGTTTGACTGGTTCCATCGACCGAACTAGCCACATAGAACCCTTGTGCCTTGCCAACAAACCCTGAGCCTAGCTCATGTCCAATAGTCAGCTCGTCATCAATGACGGTCATGGTCCCGAACATGAGCTTTTGGAGTGCAGAACCTGAAGGAAGTTGGCCACCAACCAAGGTCGGGAATCCCCCGTTGTTGTTGCCGCCAGCGTTTTGCAGCATCGCTTGAGTGTTCCCACCAAGGCCGGAAAGTAACGGAACATTATTGTTGTTTAACAGACCGGTATTGCCACTGTTTTGGCTTATTCCGTTGTTCACTGGGAGGTTTGCACCATTTGGTTTAGCAAATGGAAGTTGACCATTGAGTGCTGGGTTGTTGACCACACCGGTGATCGCTAGAGCAGACGGGTTTGACCCTCCAAGGATGTCATGCATGAAGAAGGTCAGAGTGTGGTCAGGTTCAAGCACAAGGTTGGCAACATTGGCTCCTGTGGGAATGGGACCAGTGGTTGCAGCCACACTAGGATTAGGCTGTGTGCCTGCTGGGGTGGTGGTTAGTGGCGGCACATTAGAAGCAGGAGCCACAACCGGATTCGACAACAATTCTGAGGGCTGCTCATCGAGCATTCTTGCTGAAGTGGAGAATGCAATTGTGAAAGAAAGAAGTACAGAAATGAGCTTGTAGGTTTTCATAGCTACAAAGTTCAGAAAGATTTGCTTCAGTATTTTTTCCTTAATGAATCGAAAGATATGCAAGCGTATGAATATATACAGCTCTAGAAATGGAGTTGTTGTATATATGTATAATATATATATACACACATATATATATGGATTTGCTTACCAAAAAGGCTTTCACCTGCAACAAAAAGCAGTCAATCATATTACATCACTAATCATTTACATGTAACAAATTGCAGAATATGAATCTTTTCTTGCAGAGTTCTACACAGTCATCAATGGCTGCCCCAAAGAAATTTATAGCAAATTGTTAAAATTATTAAGCAAGGAAACGTGATAAGAACAGGAAAGAGCAAGAAAATAAATAGAATCTGCTTTCTTTTTTCATTTTTTTTTCTTGTGGAACAAATATACAATGATAGGCATGGCAAAACTAGTTTTTTTGCCATAATCCCAATATATGCATGCATACATACTTGAGTTTTCACACCAATGCACAGAATAAACAAAAAATATTCCTGCATACATCTCTCTCTCTTCCTCTTTGACATGCTAATGCGACGTTCGAATACGAAAAATCGAAAAAAGAAACTACATGTGGCTCTTCTACTACATTATTTTCACAAAAAGGAAAAGTAGTCTCCCCGCCGACCTCTTCCAAGATATCTCTTCCTCATCGATACATCTTCCTGTGAGATTACAGTGAAATCCATGGTTTACAGAAAATGATTGGCTCAAAATTAGAGCGGAATCAAAATAAATTAAAACATCAATGTCTCGATCACAAAGTACAGTGCAGAAGAATGTAATTCACTTCAACCATATCAATGCAGATTATATATTGAATTTAGCAATACAGTTTGATTATTATATCTAAAATGCAATTAATACTAATATTAGTTGGAAACTTAAAACAACATTGAACATGTTGACTCCAAGCATCAGGGATACAAAAAGTAGAATCACGGTCTTTCTTCGGCATAGAGCAGTCCATTGATTCGAGCCAGTGCTTGGTATGATTTTCAGTAGTATTGGCAGCTTCTGGAGTTTCTAAGGCAACCACCATATCAGAGACGATGCTTTGAGATGCAGTCGAGTACATTGATGACTCGGGTACCACAAAATCCTCTGTAGACCCTTTCCTATCCTTGATGTCATTCCACTGATCAACTAGGATGATGTCATAGGATCCTTCCGTCTTGACCAAGGAAACACTGGTCTCGTGCTCATATGCGAATCAACATCTAAAGCTTTGGGAGTAGTCTTGGTTATAGGACTTCCAACAGGTGTAGAATACGACTGTGATCGCGACTCTCCAACACCCCCATTTTTCCAGCCATCTCTACTGCTAATGCCAAAAGGACCACGAAGGTTTGCACGTTTAGCATGATCGGGCATAGCAAGCATTTCACCAAGTGTTCTGCTTCTGCTCCCAAAAGCATTTCCGTTCTCCAGAAATTCTTTAGTCATCCACCATCTTTCAAAGATCTGCTGCTTTGCTTCCTAACATGAGGGCTTGTACCAGTCGTTCACATCCGAGTTATACCGGGAAGAAACCATCATGAACTCTGGCTCTTTTGTAAGACATTGAGAATCACTGAATCCTATTCTTGGTGGCTCAAAAGGAACAGAGGAAGGAACAGATCCACGGGCCTTCAAAGGGAATTGCATAGATACTCATGAAGCTGACATAATAGAATCTGATAAAGAAACAAAATCACTGGAAACAACTTTTCTTTACCAAAGTAATAATTAGACCATAGCATGAGACCAAAGGGTAGAGTTCAAACTCATCATTCAAGAAAAAGAGATAAAATTTCAATACAAAGTCAAAAAAACAAAAGAAATCCCAGAAAAAGAAAGATCTGACCTTTTGTTCTTTCCTGAGAAAAATTCTGAATCTGAAGCAAATTGACTTTAGGGTTTAGATGCTCGACTCCATAAGAAAATCGTCACTTCAATATCAGATTGATTTTGTTTTCCCCCCAATGGATTGTTCAATGATTATAATCGAATAAATTTAAGTTTAAAGTAATCGATCAAATCAACTCTGTCTTGCTTATAACTCACGAAACAAGCCGACATGTAGAACAACCTGGTAGGTCAAACAACTGTTTTTATATTACAATAAATAATCAAATTTCACACGCAAATTTGACTTTTTTTTTAAGAAATTGTCGGTTTATAGAAAAAAGAAACTAGATTCTGGGAAATGGGATTTTGAGAGATGGGAATGGAAGATTGAAAGAGATGAAGAAATTGACGAAAACCAACAAAATCTATAATCTGTAAAGGAAGAACAACAATGGTGGAAACAGTAAAAATGCAGTTGAGCTGAGTTGGGGTAATGGGAATTTTTGTATTTTGCAGATAACATGTTTTCCGAGTTGTTTTCTTGTCGTTCCGTTTGGTACGCGCGAAAATGAACTGTCGTTTTCCGGCATATTTCCCTCCACCAAAAGAAACGGTCTTTTTGTAATACTTCAATTATGAAAATTCATCAAGTCATAATACATCAAGTTCGATCTATGCCTACTTATTTTATTTTCGAAAATTGAAAACATTAAATTTTGTACACTTCAATTACAAAAACTCATCCATTTATAAGTCAAAACTCAACTATAAAAAATTAATCTTAAATTATTTTAATTTCATTTATAAAGAACTTATCCATAAAGTATAGCAACTTTTTTTTTTGAAAAATATTATAAAATGTAATATTAGTAGGAAAAATAAAAGAATCTAAAAATTTTGAAGTGATAGAAAGGTGTCAACTTTGGTAATTTTATCTAAAAATCATTTAAAAATAATTATTTATTAAAACAACACTCATTCATCATTATTTATTAATCTAATAATTGTTACTGCATATATATAAAGTTGTGTTATGTATGAAGTAATGCTGTGAATGAGACGAAACAGATCGCGAACTACTCGAGATTGACTTGATCAAGGCTCGATAAATACTCGGATCGAATGGACTTGAGCTCGACTCGAGTTCTTAACGAGCCGAAATGAGCTATTCGATATTCGAGTCGAAAAGCTCGTGAGCAGCTATAAAAATTTAATATATTAAGAATTGTTTCTTAAAAAATAAATTATTAATAATATTAATATTTATGTATTGATTTTTTTTTTAAAAAATACAGTAAGATTTCATGTATTTAAGGTTCATGTTCGAGTTTGAGTTTGAGGCTTCAATCGAATTAAGTTTAAGAACTTTATTTTTCATTTCGAGCTTTTTCGAGCTGCTCACGAACTTCAATTCAGGATTTTAAGTTCGAGTCGAGCTCCATTTCAGAATTTTCGAGTCAAGTTGATCTCAGCAATACTCGAACTCGACTCGGCTCGTTTACACCCCTAGTATGAAGTGCCTTTTTCTAATGCGTTAGAAAGCGCGTTTTGCAAGAAACAGTTTTTATTGATCACATTTAGATTGGACTGAAGAATTGTCTGTCCAGCTCAGTTGGTAGAGCACAAGGCTCTTAACCTTAGGATCGTGGGATCGAGTCCCATGATGGGTAATTCATAATTGCCGGAGGTCTTTCACGGAAGTTGCTCTCAACCTAGCGTTGGGATAACCTACTACCCTACCTCCCCCTTATCATATTACATATAGGAATATGATCAGCTAATTTATTTAGATTAGACTGAAATTAAAGAAAAATAAAAACATGAGTTAAAATGAAAAAAAAATAATATATAGATTTTATCTAAAAGGAATAAATGTGTGTGCTAAAAACACGTAATTACATGAGCACAAACAATGGTGAAGCACGTCTATTATCCCATATTATTATTTTTTTGATAAATTTTGATGCACGTCTATTAAGCCATATTATTATTATTATTATTTTTGATAAATTTAACTCATTATTTATAATTTTTTTAAGTATTTAAATATAATATTTTTGTTTGTTAAAAGTTAATATTTTTTAGCAGGGACGGTACTCCATATAGTTCCAAGGGCCACTGTCCCACCCTTCCCACCAAAAAAAAAAGAAAATCTATTATTAAAAGATATATATATATATATGAATAAATATTTATTTAAACTTTTAAATTTTGATTTATTTTAATTTTATCTCTCCTATTTTTTATTATTGATTATACTTTATTCGTCTTAAACTAAAATTATAATTCTGTCCCTATTTTTAATCATTTATTTATTAAATAATTAAACATAAAACTAATATACACACATCCACATCATCCAATATGACTAATATTCATTCATACTCGTGCAATTGCGTGCTCTCGACATACATGGCTTTTGTCCAAGATAATCACACTTTTCTTTCATTTCAATCCAATCTAGTTAAAATCAGCAAAAGGTGCTTCCTAAGCAGAAACCACTTTTTGCGATATGTGTCGTTACCGACAGGATATGATGTTAAATTAATAAATAATAGCGAATGGTTATTATTCTAGTAAATAATTGTTTTTTTTTACTGATTTTTGGGTAAAAATATCCATCAACTTTCTCGAGTCAGAAAAGCTAGAGAATATTGTTGGGTCTCAACCCAAGTGAAACAGCATGGACTATTGACACTTGGTATTTATGAATAGGTCCACATTTCCCAAAAGTATGGGAATTTGGAAATATTACAGTTCACACCATTTCTTCTGCTGCTTTTAGTTCCTTGTATTTCTCAGAATGGAAAAGGATCATTTTTTATTGCCAAATCTTTCTCAAGGAGAAATGGCTTTGGAGATCTGTGTTAAGGCTGCTGCTGGTGCCCCAGATGTTCTTGGAGACTGTATGCTCTCTCTCTCTCTCTCTTCGTAAAAGGAAAATCTTGTCTCGTTTTTCCTTTTTCTGGGTGATTTTGATTCTGGGTTTTTGAGTTTGAATTGTATTGAATGTTATTTTGCCTCTTTTGTAAAAAATGCTTTATAGGTCCTTTCTGCCAAAGGGTTCTTCTTACTTTGGAGGAAAAGAAGGTTCCTTACAAGCTGCACCTTGTCAATCTCAGTGACAAACCCCAATGGTAATTTTCAGAAAATTAACAAAAAAGATGTAAACAGTTCATTGTTTCATGTTGATAGATGTGTTGTTTGTAGTGTTTAAGCAAATGGGTTGCTGTAAATTTGTGATTTTACTGTAAAAAATATGATTTCTGTGATTTAAAATTCATGATAGGTTCTTGGAGATAAGTCCAGAAGGGAAGGTACCAGTGGTGAAGTTTGATGACAAGTGGGTGGCTGATTCTGATGTGATTGTCGGAATTGTTGAAGACAAGTATCCCGAGCCTTCTCTCAAAACACCACCTGAACTTGCTTCTGTGTATGTTGCTCCGATCCTTCATTTTGATTGAAATATGGGTGGTTGATGCCCCCATGTCCAATGGTTTTTCGAACATAAGTACGTAATATGATCCTCCGAGGACTCTCGAAACTATGTCGGAAACGTATAAGTATCTAACACTCACGCCTGAGTTCGATTAATATAGGTTAAGTCCGGAAACATTTGGTCATTTCGGTTGTCTGTTGGCTACTGGAATTCTGGGATTATTGTTGCCTTTTGATTTGTTCCCTATGGATGGTTGACTCATAGAATGGCAGAGGCAAGTCGAGCTTTTGAACGTTTTTGTTAATCCGTGAACAGGGTTGATATAGACACATGGATACATGGATCTATACATCTCTATAATCAATAGAGAAAGAAAGAATCGTAAGTAATAGATATATTTCTCGAAACAAACGAAAGATGGAATATAAATCATGGATCAATTATAAGCCCTCTAGCCTTTGAAAGTATGTAAACAGAGTTGGTACTCTTTGTGATCCTTTGATAGGAAGTCCGGATACCTTTTTGTTGTCAGAATCAATTAACTGTTTGTTAATCTTTATTCGATTTTCCGATGCAGGGGATCGAAAATATTTGGAGCATTCATCACATTTTTTAAGAGCAAGCATGTAAGTGACGGATCTGAGCAGGCTTTGGTTAATGAACTGACCGCATTGGATGAACATCTTAAGGGACATGCAAAAGATTACCGCTATCGATCTAGCTTTGGGACCGAAGCTGTACCATCTCCAGATCGCTCTTGGCCATTTTAAGAAGTGGACTGTTCCTGAAAGCTCAACTTATGTCCACAATTACATGAAGGTATGCAACTGCTGTACCATCAATCAATTTTTTCTGCAATATTCTGTTTCTTTAAATTCAAATTTAACGGTTTAATGAGTGGACCTTGTTCGTCACTACGAAAAAATGACGACGACGACTGTAATGAAACATTGTTTTGTTTAAACTATATGATGGTTTTGATCATTCATCTTGATTAGTACGGTCATGCATATTTAGGAGCGATGATGTATGTTATAACGTACCTATATAAGGCTGCACTTTTGGATCGCGGTCGTGATATGACCGCTAAATACTCACATGTAAGACGAGTAAACATAGGTTCCACCAGCATGGGGCTTGATCATACCTCATTGACTAGAAGGTATGATTTGATGCTCATCTCATGTGACGAGAACAATGTAATTATGCTTGTAAAACTACGACATCCTCGTAAACCGGCGAAGATAGATCGATGGCATACTACTCTTCCCTATCGTCTTTTAGGGGACTATTAAGATTACATGGACTCGGTGCGTAAATGTTTAAAATCATGTTCTCGTACTTATTTTCGACTGTGTTGGATGTTTGCAGGCAGTTTTCTCTCGGGACTCCTTCCTCAAGACGCAGGCCGCCAAGGAACACGTGATTGTCGGATGGGCGCCTAAGGTCGATGCATGAGGATGTTCGAAACCAGTAGGTGCATCGCTCTGTTTCGGAACATAACCTACGAAGTGTGTTAGTCGTTTAATAAGTGTTCTGATCGATGTGGTACATTGTGTTGCGGAAGACGGCTATCGGATAGAGTAAAATCGTAAATGATAATTTGAGAAAATAAAAATGAAGATAAAAGAGATACAAAATTTACGTGGAAAAACCCTAAATAATATAGGGTAAAAATC